AAAAAAAAAAAAAAAAAAAAAAAAAAAAAAAAAAAAAAAAAAAAAAAAAAAAAAAAAAAAAAAAAAAAAAGAATAAACAATAAATAAATAATAAAAATAAAAATAAGTTGTTCATATAACCTAACAACTTAATAATCTAAATTACACGGACTCAAATTTCAAATTTCAAAGAATTGGATAAGATTTTTTTTATTGACTTCAATTTTTTTTAAAATTTCTGTGATTTATTTGGAATCAACCCGAGAATAAAGTAATAACCTAATTCCCATATCCTAATTTTAATATTATTATAAAAATTTATAATAATCAATGAATATTTAATATTTAGTATAATCTCTTTAAATAATTATAAAAACAACTTAATAATTCAACTCAACCCACCCAAGTTTAAAATTTTAAAATTAGGAATTTGAGATTTAATTAAAAGTTTTTTATCCAAAATTAAAAATGGTAGTTGTTAATTTATTTCAATCTAATTTGATTTCAAAAATCATTTCAAATCGATTGGTTCGAGATTTATTGGTTCACTAAATTCTACTTCAATTCAGCTTAAATAGAAATGACTATATATTTTCCAAGGATTTTCATATGACACATATCAGCACATCGTAGACTCTTCTCTCCTTCGTTCATTCTCTCCAAAATTAAACCTCTATTAAGCTTGCTCATCATTTGTCACCAGCTCACTGTCTGTCGTTTATTGGCGATCATTCGTCGTTTGCTACTCATTGAGAAAAAAGGAGCGACAGAGATGTTTTGTGATAACAAAGCAATTATCTTTATGACAAAAAACCAATATTTCACAACAGAACAGAAAATGTTGAACTTCGACATTATTATATTCATGACCTTGTTGTAAAGGAATAAATTGTCTTACAATATTGTAACACCAATGAATAGATAATAAACAATCTTGCTAAAGTTTTATCAAAAGAGAAGTTAAACCGCTTCAAAAAATTGCTTGGCATTTGCAACTTTGAAATAGGGGACTTTCAAGACATTACTTGAAATTTGAGTTTGGAGGAGGTTGTTAGTAGTTTCTAAGCATTAAATGCAAAAGTTCAACCATAAGATAGCATGTATCGGCTCGAGTAAAGGCAAACCGAGAACCGACTAAACCATTTTAATTTGGTTTGGTTTAATCCGAGATTAATTTGTGAAAAAAAAATCGAACAAAATAAAACCTAAACTAGTTCAGCTTCTTACGCCTCTAATTGTTTTCATGTGAAATTGAAAAGTATGCACTTCGTATGACACGATCTGCAAGTAACCTACTCGATTCTACTATGGATAATGAATAAATAAGTCATAAATAAATGAGTTTAAAAAAAAAAAAAAACACACACACATTTCAAATATTACTATCACAATTGAAAAATGATACAAACACGTACATTTAGCATTTTATTAATAATAGTAGTAAAGCACGATCAACTAACAATCTTATATTATTTTATTTATAAACATGTAAATATCTTCTCATAACTAGAATGTTAAACTCAAACTCGCCAGGATTGTTTTAAAGGAAGGATCCTTTAGTACGGCCACTCGCCTATGAAATTGCCTGGTGGATCATAACTGCAGATGATGAATGCATCTCTATTGTTACAGCTAACTTTCGCACATCCAACTCTCATCGAGTTTCTCCATACCACTTGAGTGTAGTGGCTACACATTTCGTCATCAACGCATGTATTGGAGTCATAATCATAGAACTGTTCTTCATCCACCCACATTTGAACTGCTTCAATGCCAGACATTTCACCGATACTCATTGCAAGATTCTCTCCGTAAGGCCCGTGAGAGTGCAATAGTAGGCAATCACTTCTACGTTTGTTAGCATATTGTGTAGCATAGTTTGCTAGTTCCTGATCCCACTGGATAGGCTCAACACCAACTTGGGCACGAACAACATTGTGGGCATCAACATAATCTTGAGGTAGATCTTGACCAAGAGAGAAGGAAAATATAGTGATACTCAAAACATAAAAGAGAGACAAAGAGAGTTTTGGCATACCCATTTCGATTTTAAAGATTGGAATTAAAATGAATGGAAATAGTTGTTGAGAGAAGTGGGTTCACCGTGGTTTCTTTATTTATAAGCATGAAATTTTGAAATAATGTTCGTATTGTGTATTATTTAAATTGAAAAACTTTATGTTTGCTTCGTTGATATCAACTTTAAAAAAAAAAAAAATTTACATTATCGATTTTTCTTATAGTTAATTTTAAAAGGAATATTTTTACTAAAATCATAAAATAACCAACATTTATTTAAAATTATGACGGAACAGAAAATATATTGCGTTCTAGAATCTACCGGAGACTTTGATCTAACTGATTTAATAGCCTCTTAGTTTTATCACTCTTTTATCACTAACCAGTATCTCAGGATCGAGTAATATGAATGAGTATATAAATATATTCGATAAATTGTTACGTATCTAAATTTACATTAAAAAAAATATTGATAGTGGCCAGAGATATAATACCAATAAACAATTTTATCCTTAATTCATGAGTTTCAAAATATCTCGAGTTAGGTGGCTATTTATAATTTGGCCACTTTTTTAAATTAAAAATAAAAGATGAAAAAGAAAAAACACTTGGCCCAATCTTTGAAAAGTATAGTGATTGGTTATGTATGGTCTCACACAGAAGATATTATTTTTAAATTCTCATATCACTTCTTTTAAATAGTTTAAAAAATTGGCTAAATTAATTTATAAAAAAAATCTTATTAGCTTTAAAAAGTTTTATTGATAATTTTTTTAAAAAAAACTTAATACTTTTAAAAGTTCAAATATATATTTATTTGTTAGTGTAACGGCTCAAGTTCACTGCGAGTAGATATTGTCCGCTTTGACTAGTTACATATTGTCATCAGTCTTACGGTTTTAAAACTGGTCTGCTAGAGAGAATTTTGCACACCCTTGTAAGAAATGGTTCGTTCCTCTCTCTAACCGATGTGAGATCTTATAGTTAGAAGATAGGCAAAACCTTTAGTATCGCATCTCAAAAATACCCATGAACTTTTAAAAGTAATATCAAACACTCTGAAATTAAAAAAAAAAAAAAAAAAAAAATTAAAGATGATCTATCAAATGTTGATAGTCAAAAAATTTTTTGAATTTTTTTATAAAGGTTAAGGATGTTAATGTTATTGTAAAATTTTCAAGGGTATTTTTTTAAACGTGATAAGTTGAAGGGTATTAATGGTACATTTTAAAATTCAAGCATATTTTTTAAACACTATTAGAGGTTCAAAAGTATTTTTTAAACAAAGTATTAACTATTTCCATCTAAAACTAATGTCACGGTGTTATTGAAATTTTTGAAAGTTGGATTATTTTATAAACAAAATATAAACTTTAAGTGTATTTTTATTAATTCAGTCTAAAAATATTGGAAATTTAAAATTTTAGAAGACTGTCACACAAATTGAGTAATTAATTTATTTAAAAATTTTAGTAAATGATAAACTATTTTTGTAACAATATGAGTTCCGAAAAAAAAAAAAAAAGTAACATTCGATGACCTATGAAATCTTGCTGGAAATCGGGTGATTTCTGGCGAAGCATTTCTTTTGTTAATTGGAACGTATTATTTTCTTGAGTTTCCCACTCTTAAACACTAGTACCTATTAGGTTTTGACATGACTAAGCCAGAAACATAAAAAATTGAAATTTTAAGCGATAATATTATTGAATATTGAACTTGGAAATGGTTTTGGAAACAAATCTGGTAAACAAATCTCATAAATTTGAAAAATAATTAAACTAGATCCCTAAAAATACTCTAGCTCTTTTTGACCTAATCAAATTCTTCTAACAATCCCTCCCTTAACTTATTCTTCTGTGTCAAGAATTAGTTCAAGTCAGAAAAACTCTATACACCCAAGTTCTTCATGCAACTTCCGAAATGTTTTTTTATGTGTTTGGAATGTCACTGGATTTTTGGATAGCTTAATAGTTGAAGTATTACACACATTGGCTTTGTTCCTTCTATTTGAGAGTGACCAATCTCTTTGAGTATCCTCCTCATCCAAACAGCTTGACATGCACAGGCACTAGCAGCAACAAACTCAGCTTCTGTGGTTGATAAGGTGACTATAGGCTGCCTACAAGAAGACCAAGCTACTGCTCCTCCACTCATCATAAACACATAGCCTGAAGTATTCTTGTTATCTTCCATGTCTCTGGCATAGTCACTACCAGTCAATTCATTTAAATCACTAACTTCTCCCTTTCTATAAAATACACCATAATCTACCGTACCTTTCAAGTACCTTAAAATTCTTTTAGCTACTGCAAAATGTTGTTGTGTTGGACATGCCATAAGATGACTAATCAAACTTACAACAAACATGAGATCAAGACGAGTAGCTGTGAGATACATTAGACTTCCCACCATTTGTTTATATAAAGTTACATTACTTTTGCACCATTTTCATCTTTGACAATTTTCTGTCCTGTAACAATGGGATTACAAATAGAATTGTAATTCTCTATGCCAATCCGATTTAAAACTTCAGCAGCATACTCTCTTTGACATATGAAAATACCATCTAATTTTTGTATTACCTCTATTCCAAGAA